GGTTAACAACATAGCCTCCCAATATCAAAGAAAGTATATAGAACGTACTCAAATTGGTCGTGATTAAATATATCAAAATACTAACTAGGGATACGCCGCGAATTAAACACACGTATGCATCGTTATGTCTTTAAAAGACCCAACTATGCTACTTACGTTAGGTATTCACATTAAAGATAGAGGATATGGGCACGATAGATCCTGCCTATAGTTGTAGAAATTTCTTTCAGATTCAACACTAGCGGATTTAAAATTTTTTGAATACTTAGCGAGAGGTTATATGGATCTTTTCCGTGCACCATGGTTAGCGCTTTGGTTTCGCTAAATGCATATTTAGAATAGAGGAAATTGACTGTCGCACAGAGCTGCATCGGATAGCACTCCGTCTGATCAGTCGTCAAGGTGCAACGATGCTAGCGCCTATCTCTCGTTAACACTAATCTGTACGAGAAATCTGATCGAGGTTAGACGCTTCAATCGAACACATGGACGAATTGAGCACGATCAGAAACGTTTCACCCCATACGAATAGAGTATATATATGTAACTGCGGCGGGGCACGGAGTCAAATATAGAGTACTATCTCGCTAATTTATGTTTCGGCTTGCGCCATTCTCAGGCCCCTGTACTTGCGGACCCTCTACATGTACTCGCTCCATGCGACATAGATAAAATGAACGCCATTAGTAACACATGACCATAAGGATTATTACTTCGCCTCTTGTGGGCCTTGGGATTTCATTTGCGTTGAACTCGTACTTTTATGCTCTAACCCAACCGTCGTACCAGGCAAACTATCCCCTTAATCGAATAGAGCAGGGCGGACGTAGGCCAGGTAACGCTGAGACATTTTAAGCGTAGAAAAACTGTCTGTGCTGTACATTAGTTACCTAAGAACTAAGGTTTTGCGCCTAGCATAGGTTTGGATGAAGGAGAAATAGTACAGTACCTGCGAACTAAAACGTAGAGGGGTACTAGTACGACTTGGCTGGGTGACTCAATGCTATTAAAAAATAGTTAATCATTCTTTCTATGCCTCTGTTCCATAAACCGTTTTTTCTCTTTACAAAACATGCATAAATGACAATCTGCGAAAGGTTACCCTTTGCGATCTCGGCAACAGCTTGCTCGGAACAGAACTTGTGGTAAACTTGAATTAATAAAAATAGATCTCATATTCTGATTAAATGAAGTCAGTTGACGAAGCTTAACTTTTATCATTTGAAAGCATGAAATAGCTGTAAGTGGACTCGTTAGAAACTTATGGTAAAACAACTTCTTGCACTAACCGGAGCAGAAGATGAGCGTTTGACAGAAATCCATGGGCACGCGGCAGATTAGGTTAGATTAGATTAGATCTGAATTACAATGCCTTACGACGCATTCTAAATAGTATTAGGTATGTAACTTCAATGAATTTAAACTGTTTTTATGCAGGCGAAGGCTCGAACTTATTTTGTACAGTATACAATGAATTTGCATCGGACAATGCATGAATGAAATAAAAACATATTTAATGCAATTTGAAAAGTATTAGACTTTTTATTAGTTAAACGTTGCTGATACTAATTTGTCTGTCTTTTGTTGTTCTTGTTGTTGTTGTTGCCGCGATCATAACTATTGTTGCTGTTGTTGTCTTGTTATTGGTGTCATAATGACGGCGACGATGATGGTGCTGACGATGGTAGTGATTATGATGTCCATGATGGTGAGATATTTGTCGCTGCTTAGGATCGAAGTTTTGTTGATGTATTGTGTTATGTATCATTATGTTCGTTATTGGCTTAGATAGCATGAAACAACATTAGCTGGTTGGTGTGACTTAATTCATTCGTAGTACATCCATATTTAAATATGTAACAGCCAGAGACGCTGTTACAATTTCGAAGGTCCGAGCAGATGTGCAAATGAAGAGATGAGGAAAGAGAACAGAGCAACTTTAAACCAGGTATTTGGTGAAGAAACGTATTTATTTGAAAAACGAGATCATTTGTGCCATATGCGTTTTTGTGCTCTCATGTTTGGTAATTCATCAGCGTAGACGGAATTTTAGTCGACTTAAGCTATCGCTAACGTATCCGTCAAACGTCTCTTGTTCCTTCCTTTACACAACAAGTATAATAATGATAAAGCTAGACAATATGTATATTCATTAGCATGCGCATGACGCGTATAAATGTACTCTGTAGTCTTCATTTTCTTAGGACCACTTCCGTTTGCCTTCAACCCGAACCCGCTTCCAGTAAATGACTATTATAGTCTTCATGTCGCTCATTGTTCTATGACTACTTAGCCTTTCAGCATTTTGTTTCCAACTTCCCTCCAAATTTCTCAGCTGGCGTGCTGTGTTTTTGCTTATAGCCGAGTAAATGTTAGATTGCCGGAAGCTTCACAAGGTGCGCGCCGGTCATTTCCGGACAAGTGCCGTGGTTCTAGCTCGTGAGTACACTCACTGTGCGAGATGAGAAAATGCCAGTCTAAGGGGCCAAAACAAGATATAGCAATGAACGTGCACACGCCGCTGCTTTTACCCACCAACGCTTCCGCTATTGGCCTTTGACCTGTCTCGCCGTGGGTCGCTGCAGGCGATCGCCTAAATCTCGTAGATAGATTCTTCGGTTGCCACCAACCGACCTACGACTCGCAGGTAGAGGCAACAGCAGGAACTGCTGCTGCTGCAGTTAACATGCAACGAAGAAAGGCGAGCGGGTCCGCTACTAGTCGGAAACAATATCACAACCTGTATAGTAGACGTAGTAGTGACCGGTGGTGGTTGTAACAGAGAAGGGCGAAATGGCGATACACATATAAGAATCGTAGAGTATGAAAAAGTTTAATAAAGCGATAGAAAAAGGGTGATAGGCTTCTGCGCTGACGGATGTTGAGTTAAGAGCGCCAGGCTGATTACGTAGAAGTTCGAAGCAAAAAATCGTGCGAGCAAATAGTCACTAGAGCGAAGTTCAAGATGGGAACGCAAACGAGATTGCGAAGGTTAAAAACGAAAGCATGAAGGAATATAATATTAAAAGACCATGGACAAACTGATGAGTGCAGATGAGTAGAGAGGAGGACAAAGAGCGTTCTAGAAAGGAAGGCAAAATTCGCCCAAAAGAACCCAATTAAGCTAGCGGCCAATAGAGGGAGGAAATAGGCAGTAACCGGCATCGTCATTCGACCAAGGACGAAACCACCTTCGCTGCGCAACGGGAGTCTGACAACGACGAGCATATGAAGAAAACGCATAAGAGGCAAACGTAAAAGAACACAAAGACCGAGCCCGGAAACAAACTAAACTAGAACAACATGGAAGGACGAGTGAATTGGGCACTTCCGAAGGGGCCTGATTTTGGAAGGATATTCGAGGGGTCTTTGCCAGATGATAGGTGGAAAATTGGGGAAGAGAAAGAAGAAAGTATAGCCGCCCAGCGATCAGTGCCGGTCTAGAAAGGGAAAGCTGAAGAGTATAACCAACTAAATGGGTATATAGATAAAGTGATGACGGCGAAGCGGCCGCCCTTAAACAGAGTCGCATCCATGGAAGGTCCGGCGCTGAGCCTTAAATGAAAGCGAAGCGAATAGTGGAAACCGCTACAAGCACACAGACGACGCTTGCCCTTAATACGATCGACGGCCGCCGCAACTGGAAGCGTGGACTCGTCTTCGTTGGGAACATGCTGCTCTTGCGGGACCGGCTAGTACAACTGTCGTTTCGGCCGGCAACTTGCACAAGATGAGCCGTATAAATCTGATGGGACGGCCCGGACATGTCGTCTTATTTTAATCAATGGCAAATCTCACTACTGGTACTCTAACAGCAGTGAAGACGAAAAGTGTACGAAGTAGGTAGAACTTGAGCTCCAAGGGTGACAGATCGAAGCCGATCTCACAGCGATATCTGTTTAATGACGTCAACTTTAGTGGCTACTTCCGTAATACTGTCGTAGCATTATTGTCGATTTAGTAAAACCAAAATTGAAATAGGAGGCTCCCAATTTCGGTGGGTATGAAGGTTTTCTTCATAATCCGCAATCGGACGCATCACACTTCATAACCAATACATGAACGCTTTGTCGAGTGACCGAAATGCTCGTTGCAGTCTTCGCGGAAATGAGTTCGGAGTTTGGTTGATGTAAACGCATATAGATGCAATACCTCAAGAGTAGCAAGATGATACAGTAAGTAGCAAGAGGTCAAATTTAGAAACGTAGATTCATGCTCCAGCCACAGCCGGTTCATTCCAGCGGATGGATGGCTAAGAAACAAGCAAAACATCAGTTAAGTATTTCGTTTGTTTTTATCGTTAAAGAAAGGTACATCACACACGACACTGCCATAAGTGCCACTCATATTATTATCAGATAGAGTGCAACGCCACACATTGTCTTGGCTAGGCGATGTCTTTCTGTGTGTGTTGTTATATGTAATAAAATCACGTTTCTATCACTTTCACTGCTATTGCCGTATCTATCTACCGAAATCTTAATATCTCCCTGTACTTTAGAACTATCCGCATGCGAATCTGTTGCAAATATGGCTGTCACGCGCATTCTGTCGAGTTTCCGCTGTTTTCTGCATGTAGTACAGTGGAAATCGGCCGCGTATCGATCCGCTGCGGCGTACCTTTCACTGTATTCCTAAAATTTTTATAGCTATTATAGCCATGTTAGCGTCTGTATATGTATATATATAGTGCTTGAACGGCGATGCACTCGTACTGATCTGTTGTATCTGCGTCGCTGAATCGGGTGTCTGTTTTTGTGTCGGTCTATCGGTGTGTGAGTTTGTAGGTTAGTAGGCTCATTCAGTCGTCAGTTGAGGGCTCACTCAAGGCCGCCGCGAACTTATACTGGTCAGATGAAGCGGAAACCGCTCTGGTGACTGGCCAGCATCAAATATGCGCTGCAATCGGTATCGTGTGGCTCAGGAACATTATCTAATATAGCAATAATCATGTAATAGCAATAATATTATAACACGCAGCTCATTTCCGAATTAGTTAGCCTGATCTTTTTTCGTCTCTCTCTCTCTCTCTCTCTCTCTCTCTCCTTTCTAGCTCTCAATTATACTCACTATCACCATTGCAGTAATACCCGTTTGTTGTTGTTGTTGCTGCTGCCCCTGCCGCCGCCGCCGCCATTGTTGTTGCTATCCAATTGTTACAGTCGTACTAATTTTCAGTGGTTGTTAATCAGAAAATGCACTACCCTATTAGTTCTTTCAAAATACCGTCACGTCATCGTCAATTCTCTACGTTATATATCTATTTATAGTTATGTTAATTACTGTGTGTAATCATAATTTCCGTCACTTTATATATCGTTCTATAAACAGCTCAGGGCCCACAATGAGATGCGTCGTTCCGATATTCGTAATCGACAATTAGCTCGATTGATGTTGACTGTTGTTGTTGTTGTTCTATGTTCTGTTGTTACTTTACTGTTGCCGTTCCGGGTCATAACTTCGAGGTGTTTATTACTATTGCGATTATTGTTATTATTTATAATCGGTACGCGAATAGTATCACACGGTGCGATGAGCTCGTAGACATAGTCTAAGATCATTGATATTTGTCGTTGGGTTTCTGCTATGTTTCCATTACAATCGTTGTTGTTGTTGTTGTTGTTGTTGTTAGTATGAGCAGGATGGCTTGAAGTATTCAATTCTTCCATATTTATGTCTATGGAGTAGCGAGGTGTGTACGATATAGAGTAGAATGGGTCAAAAACGTTCATTTGCTTTTTTTTTTTTTTTTTTTTTGGCCTTTACGGTGTTTTGCTTCAGTCTTTTTCGATTATCGTCAAGTTTCTAAACCATATTTCATAAACTGCTAATTGGAGTAGTTTCATCAAATAGATATACAGGTCGGTTTGCATTAAGCCCCCATTACGGTGGCGTGTACAGTCGCTGTACTTGACTTACGTCATCATTATCGAGCGTAGCTGGTAGTCATTCTGGTAGTAACCACAATAATAATGGCTGTAGATTGTAATCTATCGTTCTGTTTCGTGTTATTTTTTTTTTTGATGTTATTCCCCTGCCTATATATGTGTGTGTGTGTGTGCGTATGTGTGTGTGTGTGTGTGTGTGTGTGCGTGTGTGTGCGTGTGTGTGTGTGTGTGCAATTCCTATATATACCATTGCCCATTACGCTAACAATTGCCGTCAGTGTCATTGTTGCTCGTCGTAGTAATCGTTTCTAGCTTTTGGAGCGTGGTTATTAACTGTGGGACGAGATGTCTGGCCTATTTTCGTGTAGATTTTTTCACGTCGGATTTTTGAGAGTTTTTCGAATTAGCACCAAAAATTCGGCCGGAATTCCCAGAGCTGGTGGACGTTACAGTTGGCACAAATGTCACATCCTCAGCTAAATATGGCCGGTCATTCCGCCAAAAAATCGTGTCGTTCAAGGATTTCCAAGCCGGATTCGTGTTTGTAGCTAAGCAAGACTTGGTTGAGAGGCCACTGCGTGCTCAACCAACGAATCGAGGTCAACTCTAAGCTTCCGCGATCGTGCCTGATTTACCGTTCCTTTGTGATCCCGTGTTTTCTTCCTTTAACGCGTTCGCTCCCCGTCAACTGTTTTTCTTTTCCTCTCTTACAGCGTAACATAGGAATGATGTTATTAATATTTTTTTATTATCGCATCGTATCACCATCGTTTCGCTTCTTTTTCTTACTCAATAAGTCGATTCATTTCTCGTGATCTCTGGTGCGTGCTTTCTCGCGCCTGTATATTTCTCATTTATCTGTATTCGTTTCTCATTTCACTGTCATTATTACTCTTATTACTATTATCATCATTACCGTTTTTTGACTATACACAGTCTATTGTTGCTTTCATCCTCTTCGTCCGTTTGTTTTCTCTTTACAAGATCCAGGGTTCAGTACTCAAAGTCTCTTTGACAAAAAAAAACTTCTGTCGTATGACCCTGGTGTAAGGGAGCCTCAAAAGGCGGATAAGCTGCGGTAGCTGAGAAACACGCACGCGCAAACGGATCTACTTGTCAGCTTTTTGTAGGTTTTCATCCCTGTGTGAACACGAAATCTTGTCGAATATCGACCTTGTTCGAGAGGCGTGCATGTCCTAAACCAAGAACTAAGCTTCATGGAAGGTATGTGGACGTTCAGAGAAAGGCCGAAAAATTCCAGCGGAGTTTTTGGCGTTGAGGGTTTTCACGTCTGAGGTCAGAGAGTTTTCGAGGACGGGCTCAGGGAAAGTACGTTTCTGCATTAGATAATAGCGTCGATCAATCGATCGATCGATCGGCTGCCGCGGGCCCCGTGCAGTTAGTCTACAGTCTGCCATTAGCGTTATCGCTTTTAACTGTTTCAAAAAAGCTCCGTCTCGTTACAGGTCAATGAGTTGTGAGTTGTATGGGATCAAATGAATCAGTTATGAATAATGTTGAGTGATTGATCGAGTTATGATTTGAATAGATTCGTAATACATGCTTGGCCATCTGCGTCCATGTGTACAACTCTCCCTTTTAGGATGCGTTGCTTGTGCCCGAGCTCGAGTAAACAGACAGAAAAACAGAAGGACTCAGTCGGCATCGGTGGGGCGCATGCGGTCCTTTGATTAACGTGATGCGTCCGGACTGATGCGACAATGGGCGTCGGTTAATACGTGCAGTTCCACCTGGCTCTCCTTCTCTGCTCGTGTATGTATTTATGGTCGAAAGCGAAAAATTAGGTGTTCATATCTGTAAAACGGTATCCACTTTAAACGAGGACTATGTAATCCAGCGTTGACGTTATTGTCGCTCTTGTTATTGCTGTTTGACAATTAACGAGTAGCGAAAATTCTCGTCATTTCGTAAATGGTTGTGTAGAATTCCCATTTGGCATGCGCACGTAAGTCTGCGCTCGTGTAGGCGTCAGGACACTCGCAAATGTTTGTGGGTAAAGCACGATTGGCTCGACGACAAGGTACCGGTGCATGTAGTTCGCGACCTCCGCAATAGGAAATTGTATTGTTGGGGTTTATGCACTGACTCATTTAACCGTTCTTCAAATGCTCAAATTTTACATTATTTTTCCCATATTTACCTTTACGACGGTCCTATGCCTTTTTGCGGCCATACAAAGGTCAAGCGCAATCAATTTAAAACTGGACGTTTTCGTTCTCTGTATGCACGCTTCGAGTATCGTGGGTTCAGTCAAATCAGCTTCGTCTGATCCGCTAACAGTCGTCATTATCGTGATCACTCGCAAACGGCTGTTCTTCTTCCCACGTTACGGCATTCGTTCGTGAGCAGAACGGAGGCCATTGACAATGCGTTGTAATAATTTACAAACACATAATGCTAGCGTGGTGATTGGACGATATATGTTGAATCCAACCTGTCTTTCTCTGTATGTAAGGTATGTTTACGCATAGACGTGTGTGTGTGTGTAGGCGCGCGCGCGTGCGTCTGTGTGTATTGGTGTGTTTTTAACTACCACTTAGGGGATGATGCTTGTCTTTGCTGTTAATCAGTGGTCTTTCTTTCCTAGTGCCTCTATTGAATTGTCACTGTAAATCTTCCTATATAATTTTCTCGTCTCCTACCCTATCTGCAGTTAGTTTTCTGCCACCTGCTTCAATTGCTTGCTGTTCTTTATACGAGTGCTTATAGCAACAAGATAGAGTATTTATTTGTTATACTATTTCTTCTCTATCTGCTCGAGTTGTCTGCGTTTTCGTTCGTCGAGTTTTTTTTTGTTTTCTCTGCTTCGAAAAATCTATTTGGATTGTGTACGTTATAAGAGTCTATCCCGTTGGAAGCTCACAGGTTCGACAGGGATGTTTTGGTGGAACGCGAGTTGACGTCGTTGCGTTAGCATTACTTTTAATACTAGAAGTAGTATTCATCAACGATTAGTTACGTCGTTGAATCTTCTCTTGCGTACAATTCGCGTTACGCTATTGTCATAATTATATAGTTAGTTAATGAATTGTTTACGTTGACATTGTCCACTATCAATGAATATGATAACGCATCATTATAACAGCGTTACTAAGATGGTCTCGCTACGGTTAGCGACAACAGAAGATTCGATCGATCAATCTGATTTACACATGAATATAGATATTGTTGCCGCCTCGGTTGATATTTCTCGCAGTTTTTAGTACGTCAGTACCATACACTTATTGTATTATCAGATACATACAGCCTGTTTCACATTGTCCTCAAATACTAGACCAATACGCTTCATTCACGAATCTTTCGTTTCTCTCATTTTGTTCTGATTAGTTCCGAGGAGAGTCAGCCATCGTCATCCGTTCAGCTTATATTTTAGCGAAACCTCTTCCACCGCTTATGATCATCGGCCTTATACAACCCCAATTCGTGAGCTGTATACAAATGGAATGTCGTCGTTATTATAATCCGCATGAGTATAATAAACTTAGTATATAATTTAGTAGAGAGGCAACTTTACTTCTTCTATAAGCAATCCCTAGAGATGCCGCGTTAAGTGTTAGCTAGAAGGGGCCTCAATGACGTATCTCGTTAGTTTGCTATAGATAGCTAGCAGTAAAGTCATAGAATTAAATCGCCTATGGTCTGCATACTGTATAATTGTACACAATGCTACGGGAATGGAAGATTACCAATTGGCCCTGACTGACCTCGGGGTCGGATGGTCATCCTATCGATTAAACTGTTAGCCTCGTGTCAAACTTCTTGCTATTCCATCCACACGCCGCATTTGATTTTAATTATCAGCCCTAAAATTCCGTACGAATGCCAGTGTTATAGCTCATTTCATGCCGTCTCCTCTCGTGCATGCTCGCTCGCTCGCTCGCTCGCTCACTCACTGTTGAAGTGCGCCACCCTGTGAGTAACCCCCACCAAATTCCCAGCCTTACTCGCTATGTGTTGTTGTTTCCTCGAACCTTAATTCGTGCTGCCAAAGTATTAAGGCTACGCATTGAATTTGAAGTAGGAATCTCAGCTAGGTAAGAATTGAAAATGTAACTATTAGCGATTCACACTTACTCATTATACCTATAGCCACGTAATAATAATAACCGAGCCGCGTATAATATGTGAAGGCGTGCACAAATGTAAAATCGAGTTCCCTGTATAATGTTATTACATAAGGTGAGGTAAGGCAACGTGACCACGTTCGTTCGCTCTGCTCTGTGCCTCAACGAAGATTTTTTTCGTTATGATCGTGGCTGTCGATCGAAGTCATCAATGTTGGATTGCGCATTAGAGTTATTGTGCTTTGCTTGTTAAGTTCTACGGCTTTTGTTTATCCTTTGCATGTCTTTCATTCTCTCTTAATTCATACAGGTTGATATTACCTCAATGCCTTTTTTAGGCCTGTGCACGTTTGTGTCTGCAGCACTTCTGCAGATCATTGATAACACGCTGTTCGTGTTGTATTGTTTTTAACTAGTCTTGGTCGTGCTATTTTTACGCATTCAGTTTTACTCTCTCTGGTTATAATCGTGTTGGCAGTGAATAAGAGACATGGCTGTGACGACCCGGTAGGGACAGGGCGAAGGTCCTTTGGCGAGCTTGATTTCTTTATTTGACTTTCTGAAATTGCTCATAGTATACAAAATATGGTGATTCTTATCTGTTCCCTATGTTCTTATTCGTTTGCTTAGACTAAATTGATAGGGTCCTCCGCACGTCCATGCCAGTGAAGCCGCACCGTTCTCCGTATTTCCCCCGAGGAGGACCACGGGGCTTGGGCAGTCAGTTTTAACATTGATTTGTTAGATTACATCTTCAAACAAGTGTGATTCACACTTTGCATTTACTCGTTTTTTATTTTTACCAACAGCTTTTAGTTATGCTGGCTGCTTTCAAGTTTTCTGAAACAGCCTGCCCCATCTGTTCTAGTTAAGATATCAGTGAATATTTCTATAGTATCTTTTGCTTGTTGAGGTTTGCTACACGCTCAAATATTATTGATTTGTTGTCGTTATTGTTTCTCTTCGTAAATTATTTAACGTATGTCGTCGATATGATCATCTTCTTGTTCCAGTCATTTTCTCTTCAAGTGATTGGTTTTCGAGTGGGAAGTTGATTTTTGTCAAAGAGTTAAAGGTTCGGGGGCGAAGGGCGGGGGGGGGGGGGTAAAGAGCTATTTGGAGGCCGCGCAACACGGCCGATGTTCAATCGTCCTTTCCATACATTTATATCGATTAGAGTATACAGTGTTTTTCTCGGTAGTTATTGTTATTAGGGTAGTAGCATTACTTGTATTAAGTGCATTGTTACTTGGATATTGTGTTATTAACTATCGTTTAGTTTCGTTGGATCGTCAAAAGTCGTCAGAAGTTTTGTTATTGTTGACGGTAAAATAAATAGTACCTCATTATAGTTTGGTATAGGAGATTGCTGTTTTCTTTTCCCGCATTTTGTGGGTCATGTGTTGGGCGGAGACACTACAGCTGTTGGTGTGTTTGATCTTTTTTCCGCTTTCCGCTTCGCATTGTATTTCATGTAATCATCATGGTATTGTTTCCTAGTTCCTCGTATTTTGTAGATAACATTATGATCTTGGCTTGATGACTACCGATTGTCCGGTTCATAACTGCAAGTATATTTACCGTTAATAACAACAAACACTCACAACGGCGGTGAGTGCTGCAGTGCGACACCAGCACGATGAGTACCGCCCAGTAACAGCTAAGGACACCACAGTCCTGAAAGAACCATGATGCCGATTTGCTACGCCTGTAAGCAGCATATTTCCCTTCTGAACATTTCCTCGTACGACACCATCAACCGTCAGGGCACATCCGTTCCACGATCTCGTCCGGCGAACGCTCAAGCATCAGTCGTTATCAGCCATAACCTTATCTTAATGTAACTGTCGAGCCCATATACTTTTGAGGAGAGAAAATTTGTTTTTAGCTAGGATGGAATGGACAAAAAAATTGTCATTTGTTGAGTAGTACTTTTGAATGTTACTAAAAAGTTCAATTTTTTTAGGAAATCAGCCACAATATCATTTATAGTGTCGTTAAGTTCTTTAGCCGAGGTAATATGGAGGGAGCAATTGTGTTTGGCTTTCTTTTTTAGCTAGCAACAAAATGCTATACATTTTATTGTAGAAAGATAGACTATTGCCATAAATGTGCGCGGCATCAGGTAAGACTAATGGAAAGTAACTAGGAGAGAAATTCTCTTTATTTTATTATGCATATCTTTTATCTTAGGGTTTTATTGGCCCTATAGAATTAGCCCAACGGGAGTAGACTATGAAGACACCGACTTGACTGAAGCGTTCTTTTTGCCTTTTCTAATTCTTCTCTACTCCCCGTAATGATCATTTTGTTTTCCTGTTTCGATCATTGCTGAGCACTAGAGACATATTCCTTCTCGCGTCGCATTTCCCGCGCATATTCATCTTGCGTCGTGCGTTTTCTATTGGTGCCCCACTATGATATGAGAGGCACATCTAAGATCTCTTCATCCGGCAGCGGTGGGAACGGCTCGGTGGGCTCATCGTCTCCTACAAAGAAACGCCGCAAAGCGAAAAAACAATTGCAAAAGAAAAACTTAAGATGACGGAGTTGAGAAAAGCTACGTGGGTCTGCTATAGTATCCCACGTTACCATTTTTTTTATACAGATACACACATGCTGTAAGGGTTCATGGTGTGTAGTGAAAATCGTGGGGGAACTCCTAATAAGGACATAAATCTCACAGTAACATGAACACCCCTTAGCGCCTCATTAGATCTGCTTTTCAGTTGTTGCTGATGATAGAAACTTACTCTGTAATTATCTCCGCAATTCGTGGCCAAGCATTTGTCTTGCTTTTCTACCTTCTTTTAGCTCTACTAAACTGATACCACCACTGACCAGCAGAAGTTCAAGCGTGTGGTCTAGGTTTTTCAAGGTAGCTGGTCTCAAAAAAACCAAGCCTCACTTTTGCTACATCATACATGCTTTTGCTGGAACAGGCTCATGAGTTCCGCTCAGTGCCAAACGCTACTGATGTTGACGTCTATTTGCGTCACTCCGTTGACATGTTGCAATGTTCAGTTTGTCCAACCCGCCCCAGGAGACATCGGCCGCAGTTTTATTACGATTGCCATTCTGCTCGCCGTACTCAGGATGCCTTTAGGCTACTGGATACACTATAACAGACAGCAAGGTCACTGGCCGCAGCGTTCGAAATGATCTGCAGGAAGACATATGCCACTTAGCTCTGGAAGCACTTGCTTCAGCTTCACTTGTGGCTAAAGGCTTTTCTCGTGTAAGAGGGTGAGCGTCAGCCTTAGCCTTCGTAAAACTCCTAACGCCTAGCGCGATGTGGGTCAAATCGACAATAGACGAACGCGAAAAGCTGAGCCCGGAATTTTTCGTCGCAAAGGTAGAGGGATTAAAAAGGATTCACAATGAGGACCTGAAGGTTGGCATAGCTGACGCGTGCTGGACGGTTTTGTTCAACGAGTATCTTCATTCCGGGCTGCTTTGTCCGTAGTGGCGGGTACAACGCTTCTTGTTATCCCAAGAAGAAACAGCGGCTCATGTCAACCGACATCGCGGCGCAAAATTGCAAAGACAAGCGTCTGCTGAGATTGTCTCGTATTTGCTGACAAGGAGACTAAACGTGTTTTTGAAGAATGTGAGTACAATACCCAAAAAGAAACCCGATTCAGAAAAGAGCGTTCGGCCTACACGACATGCAAGATCCTGCTAGTCGACATCAAATGAATTTTAAGTAGCCCTTGGCAATATACCTTTGAAATGTCTGTAGACATCAAAGCTGCCTTCAACTCCCCTGCAAAGAATTTGGTCTTAAGTATCCTTGCCCTCGACGGGGATTCTGTGAATGTGCTTAAGCTAACAGCAGCAATACTCCAGGAGAAGAGGGTTTTAATCGATAATGGGGTCTCAGAACTGCCAACGTTCTCCAGAACTATAGATGTGGCCAAGGGTGACAACTTCTTCTTTTCTCAGTATTGCTTCAGGATCTCCCGGACAAGATACGTAGTAAAATCTAATAAAGGTTTTCTTCTATGCAAACAGTTTAGTTATTTACGGGAGCAATGGCTTCTATATGCACCAGGCCCTAGCCAGATTACATTACACCTTTTCTGGGTGACATTGGGAATGACCATCATTTAACCAAACCGAGGTAATGAAATTCAGGATAAATGGCAGAATTGCGGATCGTGACACGCTATATCTCTCGAGTCAACTGTTGGCATACATTAATCGATTCACCTACCTCGAGTCGCTGATCTTGTATAACGGCCAAAGTTTCTCCTAGAATATTACAGAAAGATACAGAAAAACCTTGATAGCTTCGTCCTCAATACTTAGCCCCCACAAATTGTCCATCTCAACCGCTTTGCGACTTTTCGACTCCAAAGTTGCGCCAGCTGCCGCTTACAGGGTGAACTAAATCTATGGCGCTCTCACAATCAAAAATCTCGAGCATTTAAACCAAACAAAGCCCTCATTTGACAAAAGAGCCATGGTATCGCCCCGGACAATCCGTATCAGGCTCGTCTGCCTTTTGAAGGCGACGCCACTATTCGCCGAAGATCTCCATCGCCATTTCAATCTATCGTCAACTGCAGCACTCCAAGAAAACCTGCTAAAGTGGAATCGAAAAATCGCGGAGGTCAATCCCAAGTTCTATAAAGTAGTGGCCATGACGAACGAGATTTTGAAAGGGCCTGACCGGTCTAACAGACACGTAGTGCAGCGCGCCGTTTTCACTATTGTTAATGCAGAGCGCAAAAGTTTCCTAAACCTAATGAATATTATAATTATACTAGGTCTAGGCAACCTTGTAATCTGTATCATGTTTCTAGTTGCCCACGAGTTTCATTGTTGGGCAGCTTGTCGCAGTAACTAATCGAAGAAGGGCAGAATTATGGTCTATAATATAGAATACAATCGTTGGTACATCCTAAATAAATAACCTTTGGAATAGGTCGACTATTCCAAGAACCGTCTTAGCTTTAGCCAGGCTCGTAGGGCCGGTGATATCGTGTACAAGATAGCAGATAAAGCCAAAGAGCTTGCTATTCAATAAAGGTGAAAAAGGAGCTTAATCAAGTATGTATGCTGTTCTAACTTCCGTTCTTTCTAGTGAATGTTTTTTTCGTATTACATCCTTTATTCTAAAGTCAAATTTTAGACTCGACTTGTGTCACACAGTTTCGAATCAGTATATATATGTATGTCGAAGCTATATATATATATATATCGAGCCAAAGACAACAAGAATCGTCTGGATAACGGTATGGAGGATATCGGGTAGACATGCAACTTCTTCTATTGCGCTACGATTCGTGCAACGTTTCGATAATCACACATTTGCAAAAAATATAGCTAGTTAATATTTGTATTTATTTGAACTTACCTCTACCCAGGTCCTTGTCGGTATGATGTTGTTGCGTCCGCATATTTCGGCTGTTCTTTTCGTGGGTGCCAGCGCTGCTCCCGCCGTTGTGTTGACTGTTGCCTTGGTAATGTGTGTTGTTACTGTGTTGATGTGAATAAATGATGCTCCGCATGATTTCCATCGGTAGAGGAAACACGATCGTCGAGTTCTTCTCGGCAGCGATTGACGTCAACGTCTGCAGATAACGTAGTTGCAACGCTGACGGCGTTTCTGCGATCACCTCGGCCGCCTCCTTGAGCGACCTGCAAATGGTCACCGCCATTGCCGGCACAGTTACAACGAACGGCATCAGCACAGCAGGTGAGCCAAGCGGATAAAGTGATTCGCTTACGGGTAAGACGACAGAGCATCTTTGGAGCTCTTTGTAGCTTTCGCTCCTTCTCCCACGCTCGATAGTCTGGTTACCTCGTTACCACTTACACTGCTACCCCAATCTTCGACGACTGTCATTTTCGTACTGAGCCCTCGTTAAGACCATACAATTTGAGAAGAAGCATTCGATAACGCATAGGAAAAGGGCCAGCGCAAAAGCTCAAACGACGGCAGGCCAGGTTCGACTTCATTCACGTAATTAAGTCGGCACATTGCCAGCTTAGCTGGTGGCCAGCCTGCTTCGTCAAACGGTCAGTATAATCTCTACGTTTACTATGGAATACAGCTTGGACTACAGGCCAAAGATCCCGTAAAGACCTGAGCACGGCTTCCGACCGAAGGATCTATAGGCAGAAGAAGAAGACCTTGCCAGTGTTAATCAAACCTAATCGCCTCAAAGATAAAATGTGGCCCTTGCTAATATTCACGGAAATTCTGCTAGGTAGTCAATATACACAGCGTCAGCCTAAGCTATTGCACATCTGGTTAGCGATTAGTGGAGTTAGCTAGATTGGTCAATGACGTACGTTCATCAACGTGCTGAACGTTTAAGTCTAACTGTCACAACTGTTTTTAGGCAGCCAAGAATATATAATCTATATATAGCCGTAAAAATATAAAATTCTAATATATAACATTTAATTTAGTTTTTTCTTTGAGCATTGTCAACAGATAAAATGTTTTCGATTTTTGGCTTATTTGTTTTGACTTACCATCAGCACCCGCGCCAATTGTGTACTTTATTGTATACAATTGACGCGGGTATATATTTATTTAGTTTAATGACAATAGATAGCTTTTGTATCATAACTGACTGTGTCTTAAATATGAAACAGACCTCGAGGCCCTTTGCTCTCCTTCTGCGGCAATAACTTTTGCCCTGGCTTCTCGAGTCGCCTCTGCTTCAGCCGCCATGGCCCTCTGGAGTTGCACGGGCAGTCGAACGTCTTTGCTGTAAAAATGAGCAATATAATAATTTAATTAGCGAACGCTGCTGCCATGGTAAAGAAAGCATCATTTATCTCTAAGCGTTTAAACGTATTCGCGAGCATTTTGACGACGAGCTAAAACGAGTGCGTAAACTTATCTGACATTGAGGCCGCAAGCTAGTCCTAGTAATGTGTAAGAGAACATCCCTCGACCACGAAGTGTAGAACACGTTGTTGGTTTGAACGAAGGAGGGGGCGTTGTCGACGGCGCATTTCATTAAGAGGGTCTCCGCGTAAAAAGTTGAAGCTGACGAACGGCAAAAAAGAACTTCTGCTATTAGGACCACTGCTGCTAACGACTAGCAGTTCTAGGCTCATGTCATCGTCGTTATGTGTATAACACTCTGAAGACAATTATGGGAAGAAGAGTTTTTTTTCTATCATAAGGCAGCATATCTGACTTTCCCACATTTTTTTACTACATCGTTTATCGCTACCCAAATCTGGGCACGATGCGACAATTCTACTTCACAAGACACGGCCGGTCGGGTTTCGTTAATAACTTTGGAGTTATACGCCTAATTCGACCTAGGTTAGGTAACAAGAAAGATGATGACAGATAGTAAACTCGGCACTCCAACGAAGCAAGGATAAATATATACTAAGTACAATGATAAAATCACAAGAGAAGGTCTAGAAACTAAGCGGTGCCAAACGAACGGTAGTTTTCTAGGGTAAGCCTTTTTATTATATTCAATTTTGAGATTCTTCCCTGATCTACGCGGTTTTTAATGTTCCTTGAAAGCATACGTGACGGACATGAGCAGGGGCGGTCGTATGGCCATTGCGGAATTAATGCTTGTTTGCTCAAATATTCCACTGTACACGATCCCAACAGATGCTTTTGCAGGGTCTGGACATGCAGTATGATAAAAGTGGACCAACGCTCGGTAACCAGTTTATTATTATGTCTGCACCCCGCACAAGGGAAGCGCATAGGAAGTGCCGCGCCGCCGCGTCTAGGGTTGTAGCGTCAAAACACGTCACCAACACGGTCAAGGAATATGCCAACATCCTGCGCAGTTGGCCTCCATTTTGAACAGCGTCCCTCGATGAGCTGGTTACGCCACAGTGGTACAATATCTGCGAACTTGGTAGCCCTCTAGTAAAATTTCGACACAAACAGTAGTAAGAACTAAAGAGATGAACTAAGCTGCCGGGCCTCTGTTGACCTGATTCGACTACTACGACAGGTTAGAATAGGGAGATACACAGGATACAGCGCGTCATCATGAACCTCGTACAGTATAATGATTGTGACACCATTGAATCTATCATCATTGCACATCAAAATAAGCAAGTTCACGCGTTCTTACCTATTACTACGGTGCGATTGACGCACAAACGTGCATTCATTGAGTGGATGATAATCTCCGATCGGGATTAAGTATACACCTTCTTCAGACATATTGTCAATATTTTCAACGAAAAAACAACTTCAGCGGAATCTATGTCGCAATATTTTTCGGTTATGTGTGAACGTATATCTATTTTCAATTTAACATAGTAGCCAACCACTAACACCTTGCAGAACGTTCGCATGAAGCTTGTAGGATAAAATCTATTAAAACCAACTTCTCGTATCGTAACGCTAATATCGTAAATCCTTGGCGATTCTCAGTTAGCAGCCAATCATATGATATTATACAATAACTTATATATTGTAACAAACTCAGAGCCTATTTAACAGGGGGCCAAAGCTAAGGCCTAAGCACGATCAAGTTGCGACTTGGATATAATCCTCTGATCTCAATAGATAGTCACGTTAACTCGAATGCGTAAACTTGAGCAACGATGGCCGTGCTAATATTATCTGTAATTGACTCTTAAAAGACGGCTAGAAGAAGAAGAAGAAAAAGATCTATAAAATCATCGCCAGATCGCTATAGCTCACACGGACAATATTTACGAGCTAGCGCAGCACGTATTATATAACTTGTTATTAAAATCTGAGAACATCCTTAAATCGAACGCGTAAGTCATTTACATAACAGAATAGAAAATTGCTGGCATTATGACATCGCTTGCGTCTTCTAGATCGCATAGGACTAGGCATCCGCTTTCACGAGAATGATCAATTACCTGGCAAAACTGTACTTTGTACGCCTTCTCTAAACTTAAAATGGCGAAGGATTGCTCGGTTTTGCGAAAAGCATATACCGAATGTTTGTAATGCATACAGAAAACAATGCTGAACTTCATTTCAAGTTCTGTGCCAGTGCATTGACTATGTAACATCTACAATGGTCCGTGGTCTTAGTTACGTGTGCATTGTCATTGTACAATGCACACGTAATTCTCAGCGTATGGATTTACTTGCGGACGGCTCGAGGCCGCTTTGATTGTCATAGCTGGAAATGTAAAGCGCTTTATTTTGAAGCTCTCTCTCTGATATAAACTAATGTACATGGATAGTTTGCTTTGTGCATAATACTTCAAATCGTACTCTGAAGAACGTAAACCGATACGACCACTGGGCACCTAGAAATTTGTTATACTGTGTGTTAAACATCGAACGTCAATGCCTGGTAAGAGTTCGTTTGCCGTGTTACTCGTATTATTAATCGTTGCTTTTGTTTTGATGAAAAATAAACTGAATTAGGTGTTTAAGTTCGCGTATCTGGAGCCGTTCAGCCACGGGACAGTAAGATGACTGCATAAACTTCATGTATATATATATGTATGCTTCTATGAGAAAAAGTTTAACCGGCTATTAAAAATAACTGTCCTTCGCTCGAAAAATCTCTTTTGTCTGTTGCATAAAACTATCTGTAAAAGAAACGCATATATTGTTGCGTAAAATGAAAAAAACTTCCTGTATGTGTAAATTTCTCGAGTGCTGTTTCGCATCAGTCATATTGACTGCGGGTGCATTGCGTAGCTAGTTGTATATACTTCGTTAGTTGGTTCACCCACGATCAAGTGATCTATCGCCTATAATAGGTGGCCAATACTAAAATGATTTTCTGGCGCACCCACTACATGGTTTGTCGGTAAACGTGTTAGACCGAAGACTGCGTAGCTATAACGATAGCCAAAAAAATCCTCAATAATTGATAGCATGTAGAATTATCTTTCCAGACAAACATAACCTGCTAATTATCGAAAAACAACGTAATATTCTACGTAATGTACAAGAGAGTTTCATTAGTTCTATGCACATAGGCATACGTACATCAGTCAAAGTGACTGGAACTAGCCGCATCGACTAAGTAAATGTTGCAATTTAATTTACAATTTATAATATTTTCTAACTATCGATTTTTTTTATAGAAAGGACGTGGTCTGCCTAGACAGGTTTTCGAACTAGTTCTCATCGGAACATAAATAAAACAAATCGATTTTATCGTTGCTCTATGGCCGTTTCTAGACATCGTTTACTAAAATTAGAGACAACAAATGGCACAATCTACAACCAGTATTATTACCGGATGTCTAAAACGCTCAATTATTGAGTTAACGTGATATTTATCTGCCTCGTAAATAAACATATGCGTGTCCATTGTAGCAACGACGAGCTTCAATTATAAGAAGCTACAAACTGATCAAGCGCCTAAAGCGTGCTGTATATTTACAATACAGTTATTGATATCTTAGCGTTCGTTTTACTCGCAATGGGCGGGATGCATCCGGCCCGTGCCCAAACCTTCTGGACATCCTGTAAATTGCCAATAATAAAAGGCTACCGTGGCCAAACGTGCATTACAGCTCATTTCTTAAACTGCCAAAACAATACGATGATGTCACCAGGAGCTACCAGGGGCATCTAATACCGCAACTTACCGCTTCATGGGATGCTGAAACGTCGCCAGGGCACTGGATAATCCGAGAGACATCCTCTGCAATTGATAGAAGCCGTCTCAAGTACGAAATGCTTTTGTCAACGGGTACCAAGGGGATCTGCCAGTAGCAACTCGTCAGGTCCAAAATGGAAGACAGCTGCGGTTTTCCTAACATTCCAAGAGTGGCATACATGGCAGTGGACAGACATCCCTCGGCGTGACCGTATTTAACCTTAAGTAATCCACACAAAATCAGATCGATCTGTTTCTTTTCAGCGGAACGACCGGACAAGTTCCGGAACTCTACGAAGGCTCGATTACGTCATCATATGCTTTCTGCACTTCTTTTGCGATATGAACCCGTTGGGGTGACACAACCCGCCGCGGATGTGCATACAACGAGTAGGCGATCATCGGTGGGTATAGTGTCATTGATGGGTTAAGTTACGAGCAGTTCCACAGATTAGCAAATAAATTCTTAAGTTTTTTCACATGGCGGTTTCACCAGAAGCTTACCATTAGCCTGATTCAAGCAAGTGCTGATATGAAACTCGAAAGATCTTCTTGATGGGCAGGGGAGCGTATTGGAAACTTCCAAGGTTGCAGATATTTCTGAGTTTCGTCTGATCTGGTATCTTTTTCGCGTCATTCCACGTTGGTGGCTAAAACCTCACACCCTTTTTCGGCGTCAGTGATCAGTCAGCATATAATACGGAGCCATGGAAATGTTCATAGGATATGCATCCAAAGGGTCATCCGCCTGAACAGTAAATTATTACGATCCTCGATAATTCGAGGGTTGTGGTTACACATTTCGGGGACTCCAAAGGTATAAACTGGCTTTTCTTAGCCGCCACAAAGTAAGAATGAGACACAGAGCCTTGTTTCCTGCTCACAATACAGAGCCGGCATGGAATGGTGTTCAACGGTTGTATACGCGAGAAATTAATTTAGAAATGGCTCCATCTTCAACACAAATAAGATAACGCGTAGGCATGATGACTTGCACTACTATGTTGGAAAGACGTACCCCGGAAGATGACCATCAATCGCTCCTGGTTGCGGCCCTTTGACGTATAAGGCCGGACGGCCTAGATTAGAGCGCTATAAAATGCTGACTAAGCCATCGCAATGAAATTTGCGAAGAGAATAGACGTCTCTGTTAAGCTTATGTTGGATTG